TGTGTTTTATATATATATATATATATATATTACCACATACTTTATGTTGTTTTTAGTTGTGCATTAATTATACTTTAAAAACAAATTTTTTATCTATCACGTAATTTTACATAAATAACTTATCTTATTTGTAGCAAAAATGAATATCTAAAAAAATTGTTAAAATTCAAATATTATGTATAATTGTTTTATTTTTATTATTTATTGATATATTTTCATAATTTAATTTTTAAAATTAGTTAATTAAGGAATATCATATTATTTGTGTTAGCATAGTTTTAATTATTGTGATCAAATTTTTATAACTCATTTTTTTAATTACATATAATATGATTCTTGTATTTTTATGATATTATGTATTATGCAATTAAATTATTTTGACTAAAAAAAAAGTAACCAATTATTGTGATATTGCAATAATTCATAAATATAAATTCCATTTGTGCCTAACATAAAATTTTCCTTTATTTTCTCTTTATACATATTTTCATCTTATTGTTTTATTCTGATTTAATGTAAAGTTATCTAAACTATATTCATTTCACAAATAATTAAGTAAAGTAAACACCCACACGGATTATTTAATAATTAATTTAAAAAAAGATTTTCTATTTAATTAAATCCATTTTCAAATTTATATTTAATATATATATATATACATATATTTTAATTATTTTATAAAAGTAGTGTATTTTTTGTTTGTTTGTTTATGATTTAGTTCTTTAACCTAGAAGGCTTATTAAGTTTTGGGCTATGCGTTGCATAGCCCAGTTTTAAAGCCCAGAAGTGGAAATCTCAATAAAAGCAGGGTCTTCTCCGAAATCTGAAGGAGCGAATTGGCTAGGGTTTTTGCGTGCGGCGTTCATACACTCTCTTCTGCAACTTTCGCCGACAACTCCCTTCACCATGGCTGAGCAGGTTTCCTTATTCTCCACATTTTCTTTTCCCTTTCCCCATTTCATTTCATCAATACTCCTTAGCTCTCGCTTCGATCTTCCGTTCATTTTCTCAATTGTCTTTTGCAGACCGAGAAGGCTTTTCTGAAGCAACCCAAAGTGTTTTTATGGTACCCTAAATGCTCCATGCTTTTCTCTTTTTTTTTGTTTGTTACGTTGTGATGCCGATGCTGAGTCCTTTCTTGTTATGCTCACTCTCGCAGCTCGAAGAAAACTGGTAAGGGGAAGAGGCCTGGAAAAGGTGGGAACCGCTTCTGGAAATCGATTGGTCTTGGATTTAAGACTCCCAGGGAAGCCATCGAAGGTATCCTTCTGTTTCTCTCGCTCGTAGAATGATTATTCTGTGCGGTGTTAGTTTATCATGTTATTGTTGTTGATGTGTTTATAATTGATATACATCTTGAAATTCGGGGATTGGGTGTTTGTGAAAATTAAATCGTAAACCCTAAACTGTGAACTTATTTGTCTTTAATGAGTTCTCTCTCTATGAGGCCAATGTTTTTAACTTTTAAAAACTTCACTCCAAATGTATCCTTTGTTATTAGCTGTTGCTATACGTTCATTGTTTTCTATTTCACAACATGATTTTGAATGTATGTTTTTTAATGCTCGTCTTGTGTGGGGAGGTTTTTTAATGTTTGGTACGTAGTCTTCAGAGGGTTTGAACCAGCTCTGTATGGTATACAACAACAGTAACAATAGTCTTGTCTCATTAAGTGAGGTTAGCCAATAGATCACATGGACTCATTAGGTTCAGAAAAAATTGAATTTTAATGGGTAGCATTCAGCGCAAAAATTACCTACTGTTTTATTCCTATGTCAGTCTGGTGTGTGCATACTGTGTTATAATTATGATATAGTAAATTAAGAACTATTTTTAGTTGTGTTGCTTTTTCTTTTGGAAAGATTCTTAAACATACATTTAATCCCAGGCACTGTCAGGATTGTGTTTGATGTGAATATTTTTATTTACAAGATTCAAGGATTATTCTGTAGTGTATATGCTTGTACCCATGCTTTTTTATCTAGAAAAACGTAGATGTTTTGGTGTTGTGCCATGCGAGCTTGTTTGGGAAAATAATTCAATGTTTTTTTGTAATCGGGTAAACTTACCAAGTTGAATGTGTCTTTGTGCTTGAAAATTCAATGTTTTTTTTTGTAAGGGACTGATTCTCTAAACTCTTGCATTATTTTTGTCACCATTTTATACGAAATGACCTAGTTATTTATGTGTTTATGATTTTTCTGTTTCTAAATCGGGCCTTTTTATTTTTTTTAATACAGGTACCTATATCGACAAGAAGTGTCCCTTCACCGGCAATGTTTCCATCCGTGGCCGTATCCTGGCTGGAACATGCCACAGTGCTAAAATGAATCGCACTATCATAGTTAGGAGGAATTATCTCCATTTTATTAAGAAGTACCAAAGGTATTTCTTTTGTCAAGCTTTTGATGTACAGTATTTTTGTTTGTATATGTGCTTTGTTTGTGAAGCAATTATAATTATATTTATTCTTGTGTTTAGATATGAGAAGAGGCACTCAAATATTCCGGCTCATATATCACCTGCCTTCCGTGTGAAGGAAGGAGATCACGTTATTATTGGTCAATGCAGGTGAGAATTATGTCGGAGAAACCTTTTTTGTATATTAACCCCATTATCTTAGTAAATTTTGTTGATCTGAATGTCTGATTTTTTTGCATCACTTCTGTAGGCCACTCTCAAAGACGGTGAGGTTCAATGTGTTGAAGGTGATCCCAGCTGGATCGTCTAGTGGTGCGAAGAAGGCATTTACTGGAATTTGAGCTTTGTTTTCCAGTTTTTGTTGAAGAAAAATGTTATTTTATTAATTAGTAAATCTGATTTCTGTAAGGTAACAAATATAAAGACCTGATCAATTTTGGATTTGTGGATTTTATGTTCTGCCTTTGTTTAGGATTTTGATATACGTTATGGTTTTTGAATACTATTAGTCTTTGTTCTTGTGTGCTTTTTTGTGAAAATAATTTTAAGTTCGGAATGTTTGTATTCCACATTTCGCTTATTATTTTTAAAAATTGTATTATTATGAAACGTTTTTTTGCCAGGAATGTGTTTTACCGCGTTTTTATTCATTTGTTTTATGGGTAGAATTGGGAATTACTTACTGAATTATTAGAAAAAGTTTTGCTGTGGTAAATCAACTCAGTTTTAATATATAAAAAAAAGTTTCTAGGAATTTTTTTTATTATAACTGGGTATTTATGTTATTTTTAGCAAGTATATAAATTAGATATTTATGACTAAGTAAACATATCTGAGTCATTTTTAAGAATTTTTTTTACGGATCTTTATTGCTAGTTTGTGGTTAATTACCTCAATCAAGGTTATTGGGTTTCTTGTTTTATAGAATAACGATTGGGTTCAATCCTTTGTTTTCTACAAGCACGCAAAACAAGTTAAATTTATTATATTTCTCTTGTTTTAATACCAACTAGATTTATCTCTTGAATATTCATTGAATTTGGATGATATATGAATTTGAACTTTTTGGCCGATAGATGTGTGGATTTAACTATTGTAAGCAGATAAAAATTATGGTAGTCTGCACAATCATTAAAAGTGACTGGTTAAGACATTTTCATTCCCTTGGTTAAATCAAGCCCAAAACTTCTGAAGCCCTTGCGCGTTTTTTTTATATTATTTTATTTATAATAAATACATGATATATGATGTGAATTATGGTTATGGGAGGTCGTCAATTTCCTAATAAACTGTAATGTCTGAGAAGATAGGATGGATTCGAGTTATAACTTTGTTAAGTAATGATAAATGGGCTTTTCTATTTTGCTTGCAGCGTTGTAGTATCCGCTTTAATATGATGTATAACTAGTTACCCTAAATTTTATAACAAGCTTAGCTTGGAGATGAAGAGGTAATCTGTAAATTTTGATATCATCTCAACTAGTTCTTTCTGGGAGAATTCGTGTCAAGTGACAGGATTAAAATGATAGATTATGTAGCCTGAATGTTTTATTTTATGAGCATTGTATAAGTTTTCTTATATTCAAAGTAGTTCCCTAGGCTTTTTTTTTCCAAATTCAATTCAAACATATGCTTATATTTTGGTAAGGACAATGATATTCTCGGATAAACTCCATTAATTGGAATCCGAAAAGTATGTGGGTTTTGTTCTCACGGACCTGCTCTATATGGGTTTGTTCTTACACCAACCTCTAGTTTATTTTAAGAGAAGTTATAGTTTTATTTTTTTTATAAACATTAGTGAAAGGACCGTCTGTAAAAAAAGATAGTGGAAGGTCCAAATCCCAGATGTTAAAGTTGGAGTATAAGTAACACATTTTTAAATATGTTAAGTCAAATTTTTAGCAAGCAGTCTAGTACTTTTGTGTCACGTAAATACTTTCATTTTAAAAAATGAAATTAATTTAATGAAACTACTTAAATAAATGAAAAATTACATTTTTATAAACTTTTTTGAGTTTTATTAAATTAGGGAATAACTTGAGAATAACATACAATTTTAGAAACTAATTTCACCATTTATTCGTTAAATATAATATCAAATTCAGTTTTATCCGATTTTAAACGGTTTTGATAGGACTGACTTATTTGATTTTTTATGACATTTTTTTTAATCTTTTTCTAGAGATAAGTGCATATTAAATAAACTCAGAAAAAAAGAAAAATGAAAGAGATAAATAAAACTTGTAAACCTCAAAAGATTAAAGTTAATTGATCTTTATTATCAACATTAATTAATTTTTTTTTATTTGTGTATGGTAACATTACTTGGCCATGCAGGGTCAATACATACATGACAATAAGATTGATTTTGTATCTTGCCTCAATACCGCACTTACGTAATAAAGATTGATCATGACATATAACACATAATCAAGATAACAAAAGTTTGTAAAGTATGAAAAGAGGCGTGTCATTTTTGTTTGAAGTTATTTTAAATAATGGTTTCTACAATTTCTATTTTTTTAAAACTGGCAATGGCATTATTGATATTGCAGGAACTGGACCTAATCCAGATCAATAATGAAACTGTCACCTATGTGTCTGTCTACCCTAGCCTCTCAAAACTCTTCATGTCCCCACGTCCTCTAATTCATTCTATGACATTGCCAAATTTACTTTTATGTCTTAACATGTTGCTATTGACTTTTTATTTTAATTTTTTTGGCCTTTTGGTGTTGGGCATTACCAATGAAAATATCTCAACATGAAATGAACCAACCCTGATGAGGGGCAGGGATTTTTTTAAGCCCTTCCACTGATGCCAAAATGCGAAGGGCACAAAACTTGAGTGAACACCATTGTCCCACGTCTGTTTTCCCATCAAGACATGAAAAGATTCTTATGCATATCACAACTTAGTGCAAAAGAGTTCATTCTTTTCCAATGCTTGGCTTCACCTTAAAGACTTAAAATGTTGTAAAGTCCTTGTAGTGATAGCCACTCAATTTAAAAAGTTCATTCTCGGGTTAAAAACAAGTGATTTCTCTCTGATTCCTTTATGTAATATTAATTCTACAACGTGATACAATTGATAAATATAACATTGTCTTTTTTTTTTTTTTTAAATATCTGAATACGTGTATATACAAAAATATATATATATGTTGTGAGATCTTTTAAATAAATATTAGTATTTTGAGAGATAAATTATTGATTTTTAACTGCAGAGACCCAATTAAAAAAAATCTTTTATTTATCCTACTGCAACATTTATGGGAGATAGGGTGTGATTATGTTTCCATTGAATAAGTTCTTTACTAGCACTAACCAATAAAATGTGTAAAACTTTGCTTTCTATTCTTTTTGCGTCGGTGTTGATAATTATTAAAATAAACCAAACTCCAGGTCATGGTCAACAACCTTTATGTTACAGATGTCCAATAATTTATGACACACATATACTTCAAAATTAGTAAAATATTCCTATTGTATCCAGAAATTTTTACGGAAATAATATTTTTTAAAAGAAAAATTACAAAAATGACACCTGTGCAAGTTTATTTACAGGAGTAGTACCATCATTTACTGTTCATGCTCGGAATTCGGTTCCCGGGAATCGAATTCTGAGCTTCAAATTTTTTTTTTCTTCTCAGAATTCGGTTCCGAAGAACCGAATTCCGAGTTATTTTATTTTTTTTTATTTTTTTTGTGTTTCTGGCCCATTTTGGGCAACTGTTGGAAGTGGAACAGCCCGTTTTGAAAGCAGAACGGGCCGTTCTGATAAAAGAAACAGAGTCTTTTTTTTGAAACTAAAACGGGCCAAGAACGGCCCGTTCCAGAATAGAAATTTAAATAATTTTTTGAACCTGGAACGGCCTTGGAACGTCCCGTTCCAAAAGACATTTTTAGGAATCAAAACGTGTTTTGGAACGGGCCGTTCTGGTTTTGGGACGGCCCGTTCTGGGCAAACAGTGAAAGAAGTATTTTTTTTTTACAAATTCTATTCATAATAATTATCTAGTATATTTCACGAATCCTGATTAATTGATATTATTATAATTTTTATGTTAAAAATAAACTAAAAATTAAAATCTACTATCAGAATTCAAAACTATAACTCCATCCCAAATTTAATCCTTTAATGGTGTGTTTGGATAAGGAATTTTATAAATTCAAAGAATTTTAAATTCTTGGTATTTGAATTACTTTGATTTCAATTTCTATCATTTTTAAAATATTTAATAATTTAAAAAATTAATATTAAATAATATTTAATAATTTTAAAAATATTTTTGAATATTCAATAATTAAAAACATAAAGAGATAAGATAAAATATATAAGTAAAATAAGAAGAAAAAAATATGAGGAATTTTAAATTCTTACTTTTTTGGGAGAATTTGAAATTTTACTATTTCAAAGAATTTCACAAATGCTTGAATTTTAAATTCTTTGTAAATTCTTCATCCAAATAAGGTATTTCACCTCAAAGAATTTGAAATTCATCAAATAAATGAATTACTCCATTTAAATTCTCCATCCAAACACACTATTAAGGTTAATTCACTTGGATCAAGAAATATCCAATGAATGTGAGTGAGGACTAAAAATTTATTGCTTAATATCCCATTATTTTAACTTTATTATCTTTTTTTTTTTTTGTAAAAAAACGTTAATAGTTGATGGATAAAATCCTTATTAGATAAGAGTATAATTGAGTAAAAAGATATTAATTAGACTGTAAAATTCTAATGATATTTCTTTATAAATAAAAGAATGTTAAAATGGACAAAAGTTTAAGATGAGTGAAATAATATTTAATATTAATGCCTAGAAGTTAAGAAACATTTAATATCAGTTATAAATAATATATTTAGACAACCACTTAAGATAATATCTTACGCTTAAAACGTACAATTATCCCTGAACTATAGGGAATAAATTCTCTCCAACAATATAATTATCGGATAAAATTTTAATTATTCAATCAATTTTATTAAAATAATATATTTTGTTATAAATTAAAATTTAAAAAATTAAGGGTCAAATTATCACACTTCACCGTCCAAGTGTTCTCTCTGATAGGGAAATTTCTCGTCCGTCAAGCATAATTTAAAATAATCTCAATTAATATTTATATTATACTTTGCGACTTGAAATTATTGAGATTTGGAATTTATAAAATATTAATTACTTTGGAATAAAAATTAACATGAAAAGGAAGAAATAAGAGTAATTATAGGATTAAACTGTAGCATTTTTACTGTTTTCCCAGAACGGCTCGTTCCAAACCACGTTCTACTTCCTAAAAACGTCTTCCGGAACGGGCTGTTCCAAGGCCGTTCCAGATTCAAAAAAATGTTAAAATTTCTATTCTGGAACGGGCCGTTCTTGGCCCGTTTTAATTTAAAAAAAAAATACTCTGTGTCTTTAAGCAGAACGACCCGTTCTGCTTCCGGAACGGGCCATTCAACTTCCAACAGTTGCCCAAAAATGAGCCAGGAACACGAAAAAAAAGAAAAAAAA